TGGTTGTTTCTCATCAGAAATCTGCTATTTGGGACTGACTAAAATTTCATTTGTATTCTTATTGAGTTTTAGGAACTAAAATTCAAATGCAATATAACTATTAGTATTTGTGAAACTAAAATAGTTAAAAGCAGCCACTTTAAAAATGGTAATAGCTAACATTTATTGAGAACCTACATGAGGAACTGGGGTTTAGCAAGGTTTAGTAACCTGCCTCAGGTTACACAACTGCTACGCAGATTGCGAATCTAGTGAGACTAATCTCAGCACCCACATACTTAAGCATTATGCTCCGTCCACCTGGATACACCCACTATTTATCTCTCCACTCCCCACTCAGGGGAAGAGGTTGAATGGAATCTCCTCATATCTTATCCTGACTCCCCTCAGTAAATCAATTCATGTGTGGATATAACCTCAGCTTATTACATTGATTACCCTTTTTAAAGGTGATTCAGACTCCAGCTGAATTGTTCACTCTATGAAGTAGTTGAAAATATCAAGCCTAATACTGACATAGACTAAGCTTCTAGATTACTGTCAATAGCTTTGTTTGATGGAAATAGAACAATGCTAAGCTTTCCTCATGATGTCTTATTGCTGATTCCCTAGTTTTTTACTTTGAGTAAACACATGCTCAACAGCATTTTTAATACTCATTGCCTACTTTCTTTAACAACAAGGGCAAAGGCAGAGTTTCATCAGAGGTTGGGGGACTGGGAAACAGCTCTTCTGCATGAATATGAAGAAAAAGATGGAATAATTGATGCACCTTGAGATCGGTAGTGGGAAGCAGTGTGTGATAGTGGAAACAATAGTACTGCTGGCTCTTAAAATCTCTATGTCCTTTGGTTCATTACATTATCTCTCTGAGTACTATTCCTTTGTCTCTGATATAAGAAATGCAGCATGACGTGGAAGTAGCATAGGTTTTGGAGTTGGAGTTAGGTTTGAATACTGGCTTTACCATTAGCTGTGTGCCTGGCAAGTTATTTAACCTGAGCATCACCTCCTTCAATTTAAAAACAAGTATAATGCCTACCCTGTGGCAGTGTATTGAGGATTAAAATCCGTATGATAAAGCAGGTAAAGTGCTCATACATGGTGGGAGCTCAGTGAATGTTGTCCCTTTGCCTTCAGTAAACGGAAGCAGTTGGGTTCATTAATCTTTGACATTTCCTCCTGTTATAATATTTAATAATTTTACTTAAAAATGGTCTTTTATAATTCCTTGAGTTCCTTCAATTTTGAGAAAAGTCAAAGTGTACAATGCATGCTCAAATTCTGGGCTCACTGGAGAACTTGCCTCCCAAGTGTGGCCATTAAACAGAAATAAAGTATAATGCTGGTGTTTGCAATTAAGGCAACCATGAACATTAGAGCACACTATGCTATTATCAGGAATTTCTAAATCTGTTAATAAACAAGCATATTTCAGTGGGGTTTGCTGTTATACAATTGAGCACATATATAACCAATAGAGCTCTCAAGACAAGGGGAAACATGTTTCTTCTTTACTGTTATATAATAAATATGCTAAAAAGTACAATATTTTATCAAGCTTAAAGTTATAATTTCTTTTAAAGCATACAAAAGGCAGCATTGAAGGAGGGATCACCCATATGATAGAAAGTGTAAAGCTCATAAAGATAATAATTTATTCTTCAAAAGCACAATCAGGATAATACTTGTTACTCTAGACCAGTGTTATTCCATAGGCTGTATGCTCTATTGAGTTTTGATCTGCATTAAAACAAAACAAAACAAAAAATAAAACAGAATAGAAAATATCAAAGTGCATGGCACACTTTAAGGGTAATATCTGGTGAAACTTTTGTTATATACATATAGGTATACTGAGTCATGATGGAAAATATCGTACTGAGGGCTGTGGTTAAGAAATTTGAAAGCCACCACTCTGTATGACAGTATCTAGTGCAGTATAATAAAATCTGTATCTTGAGAAAACACAAGAATTTGACATATTTCAGTGCCACACAAGAACCACAGCTTAAATTCTGTGTTAAAAAAAAAAAAAATCTGTTGAGCTTGTCATTTTCAGATCATCATCTTTAAGTCATCACTTAACAAAGCAATATGTATAAATACTTCTAAAAACAAATGACTTTTTAAGAGTCCTGTTTAAGTAGGCAGAATAGTAGGCAGCACTCCAGTGGGGATATCACAAATTTAGTTTTGAAAATTCACTTACAGAAACCAATAAAATCTCCAACCTTAATGACTTTAGCATTGTCTCAACACAGATTACCAGTCATGTTAAAGATCATTCAATTATGGGATCATTCAGGAACCCTGGTCTCTTGAAGTGAATGTTTAAAAAGATAGGAAAAGAAACTAGCAAAACAAATGTACTCCCAGATGATATCACAAAACGACACACATTCTAAGCTCAAATGGAACAAAGTGAAATAATTTGGAGAATCTGACCAAACAGATTGAGGGTGGCAAAAATGTATGACTTAGACAAATGAGGCTTGCCTCACATGTTATGCTAAAAAGCTGCTGAGGGTGGTTACCAATAAGTTGTACTGCAAAACTTCATTTAAAATGTTTTGTGATTGAAGTGGATAATCTAAAATGAAGTATACTTTAAAAACCTATACAGGTCACATATCATAGAAATCTACACTTGAAACCTATATAATCTTATAAACCAATTTTACTCCAATAAATTTAATAAAAGTAAAAAAACCCCACACCTAGTAGGTGACTTTCTGAGTCCTTATATTCTAAGTGAAAATTTTCATGTGTTTCTATAATTTATTCTGGTTAATATTTGGATACATGTTCAACTTTACCAAAGCTGCAACTTTTTATTTCAGAGCAAAGCATTTTTTCCCCCCCGATTATAAAGATGTTACATTTGCTTCCAGTATTGTATGATTATGGATTCACCACCATTTTTGTTTAGGTGAGTTAACACTTAAACTAAGTGGGTGAGGTCCAGGCCATTCACACTCAATATTTTCAATAGCTTTACTGAGATAAAATTTGCATGCCATAAAATTTACCACTGTAAGTGTATAATTAATAATTTTATTTATTTATTTATTTATATTTATTTATTTATTTATTTATTTAATTTAAAATTTTATTATTGTTTAAAATATTACAGATGTCCCTTTTTCTCCCCAATGACCCATTATTAATAATTTTAGTAAATTTAGAGTTGTGCAGCCATCGCCACAATTGTTTTGGAACATTTGCTCCCCAAAGTTCCCTTATACCCATTTGTAATTAATCATGACAGGGCTGGGACTAGGGCAAGGCAAATGGGGCATTTGCCCCAAGTACAAAATTTAAGAGGATGCCAAATCTTACTAATCAAATAAATAGCATTTTAATGCAATATTTTTAAAAAATCAAACTTAATGCACAAAACCCATGATGAACAAAAAGTCAAAATTTTAAATAAAAACTAGATCTGACCCCTGTACTTTACTCAGCCTCACTTGCCTCACCCTAATCCTGGTCCTGATTTGCCTCTTTCTGCTCCCTCCAAGCCCCCTGGAAACCACTAATATATTTTTCTGCCTCTATAGAGTTGCCCGTTGTGGACAAATGGGATACTACAATCTGAGATATTCAATAAATGGGATTCAATAAATGAGACTCATATAATACATGGCTTTTTGTTTCTGACTTCTTTCATTTAGCATAATGTTTTCAAAGTTGACCCATGTTGTAGTATGTGTCAGTAGTCTGTTTTTTAAAATTGCTGAGTAATATTCCACTGTATGAATATGCTACATTTTGATTATCCATTCACTTGTTGATGGACATTTTGGCTATTATAAATAAAGCTTCTATGTAGATACATGTTTTCTTTTCTGTTTCCACTAAGAGTGGAATTGCTGTGTCATAGTTTAAGTGTATGTCTCACTATAAGAAACTGATAAACCATTTTGTAATTCAGCTGTAGCAGTTTACATTCACACTACTAATGGATGAGAGCTACAGTCATTCTACATCCTCACCACCACTTGGTATTGTCTGTCTTTTTGATTATAACTATTCTAGATGATGTAGAGAGGCATCTCATTGTGATTTTGATTAGCATTTCCCTAATGACTAATGATGTTGAGCATCTTTACATGGGATTGTTAGCCATTTGTGTATCTTCTTTGGGGAAATGTCTACTCAAATGTTTTGTCCACTTTAAAAATTGGGTTATTTCTCTTCTTATTGAATAGGAAGAAATCTTCATATATTCAAGATATAAGTCCTTTATCAGATGTGTGATTTGCTAATATTTTTTCCCAGTCTGTGGCTTGTCTTTTCATTTTCTTGATAATGTCTTTTGAAATGCAAAATTTTTGAATTTTGATGAAGTCCAGTTTATCAATTTTTAAAAAATAGATTGTGCCTTTTGTGTTCTGAAAACTCTTTGTCCAGTTCAAGGTCACACAGACTTCCTCCTATGGTATTTTTTAAAGAAATTTTATAGTTTTTGTTATAAAACTTGGGTAAGATACTAAAATGGATAGTTCTAGGTAGTGTGAGAACAAAATGAAAAAAAAAGGGAAGGACAATGAAAGTGGAAGGTAAGGAGGGTTTTAAAGAAGAGTTCTATCTTCTTTCATATGTTTTCTAGATCCAGTCCCTGGACAAAGAGAAAATGTTTTAGCTCAGTTAATGAGGAAACTATGTCTGTTTGATATAATAAAGATTTAGTATTAGCTTTATCTGAATAAAATTAATATCAGTTGGCAATGTTGCTTTTATCCAGAGTTCAAATGTTTGCTATAATGTATATGAATATACTATACCAGAGAAATGCATGAAAGACGTTCAAAGCAACACCAATAACACACTCACTTCATGGACGCAAGCAAACACAAGGGCTTGATGATAATTTGTCGTTGGATGGAATGTTTAATGAAAGAAGTCTGGACTTGAGATGGGTGAATACCAGATGTACATGAATGGATCATGGCCATAAAATGCAAGGAGGCATTGGATATGACATGGAAACTAACCTTGGAGAAATATCACATCCTTGCTGCATAAAGGCACCCAAGGAAAACCAAAGACTGTTGAATATTCCAAATTCATTTGGAGGATCAGGAGGGCTTTGCGGGTCACGAGGTTCTTCATTGTTGTCTTCCAAGTGCCATTCATAAGGGCTGAATCTGCTGACTAGGAAAAGAACTACACTGACTCCAATGTAAGCGAAGACGATGCACATCCAGATTTCATAAGCCAAGGGATCCAGAAATGAGAATACTCCTGGTTTTGATTTCTGAGGCTTCTTTATCATGATGGAGATGCCCAAGCTCATAAATGGCTTTGAGAAATCTATAACTTCTTCACGGACCAGCGTTATAGTGAGTGGAGCAACAGCTATATCAGCCCTCTGGAAAAAATATTCAAAAAATTTTTAGAGACAGTATTTTTTCCATCAGTCATTTGCCACTTAATATACCTCTTTGGTGGAAATATGAAGTCTTACATCACTACAACCAATTGATTTGTCAGTGCTTTGGTTAGAAAAATAGTAGCATTCAGTGGGTTCTAAAATGCTTTATCTTGATGATAAGTTAAGGAAAGGACACTGGCTGGCCTTTTGTTCTGAGGCATATTGGCTTAGGGCAACTGACTCAATTTTTTTTTCCTAAAATTTTTTTGCTACCTTGCAACTCACCTTATATTCCCTTGTAAAATATCACTGTTTAACTCTTGTTTTCTTGTTTAATTTTCATGCTCTTATGTTTTATTTCCCTCACTTGACTGAAAATTCTTGTGGGATGAGCATAATAGTTCATACTTGTTATATGCGCCTTCCTCTCCACCATGAGGTGTGATACAAGACTACCATACTTAGGATTACAGTAAATGAAAGTTTGCTATTATCCTTGAATTATTTTTGGAGAGTATGTTTATTAAAACATAGGTTCTTTGAAGGCAGGGACTCTATCTTCTATTTTTGTATCTATCACTACAACAGATTCTAAAGTAAAGAAACTGTAAATGCCTAAAATATAAGTTGTTGATTATTAAATATGATATATGCAAATATGAAAGAATTCTGTGTGGACAATAACAAAGGTAAAGGAGTTATTAGAATACATATTAATTTATATAGTAAGCCATTATTTCTAGTAATAAATATCAGTGTAGCACTCATGTATTGCATCAATAAAATAATGTGTCAATAGTACACTGCGTAATTTCCTCAGGCAAAGGCAGGCAATACTTTTATAGTAATCCCATGAAAATAGGCACTAGGATTTTATGCACTTCTTTTGTCTTCCACAATTATTCCATTACAATAGTAGTAGGTTTTAGTCTGGAGCCGGGCCTTAAAATGTATACCTAGAAAAAGTGCTTCTGACCAAGGAAAGGCTTTTGGATGGTATATCAGATATGAAGTAAAACATCAATTTTGATGATAATTTTTTCTATATTACATAGAGTTATGCCTCAATATCTCTACCAGTGAGGACAGGTTGGGAGAGAATGATGAAATCTGAAATTGAGTATGTTTTCAAAGAAATGATGTTTTACTACCTTGAATTACATATGGTGATGCACCTGGTTAAGAAACACTCCTTAACTAATTTCATGGGAAATGTAGATAATGAGCAGCCAGCTAACATATATAATTTAATTCTCACAGCAACCTTGCGGTCTATACACTATCATTCCCATGTTTGAGAGAAAGAAACTGAGGCACTAAGACACTGGGATTAGAATCCTGGTCTTCCGCTTCCAGAACTCACTTTCTTAACCACCGTAATGTTCTACCTGCATAGATACTTGCAGGTTTCTACTGTACACTACTTTCATGTACAATAACCAACCTTAGCCACCCCCTCTCAGGTTCATTTCAATGCATATTTGAGTGTCTATTCTGTGCCAAGCACTATTTTTTGTGCTAGGGATGAGGCAATGAGCAAGACAGACAAAACATACAAAAGTCCTTACCCTTGTGGAGGACATCCTACAGTGGAACCTGAAGAAAGTAAGCATTTATTGAAGCCAACATCCTGCTGAGCAAATCTACCTTCATGGCTCACTCCCATCTCAGACTCACCATTTCTAAAATTAAAGCCATCATTTATCACTCTAAAGTTTATTCTCTAAATCTGTAAATAATACTTATTCCAAACTTTTCCCAGTCCCTAATCCTTATCAGTCTTACCCTCCCTGCAGATGATCTTGTCTTTCTTTACTGAGAAGATGGAAGCCATCTGATATGAGCCCCTTCACTGCAGTGTCCTTCTCTTTCTCAACATATTGCTGTACCTTCATCCATCCCTTCTATCATTCCCATCTAATAAATAATGAACTCTTTCTAAGATTTAGTTAACTTACTCCTTATATACCATATTATTCTGTTTCTTCTTAGAACTCAGCTTCATTCATTCTCTTTTACTAATTTTTGCTTCTCAATCTATTCCAGTGGTTCTGAACATTTGGTTCCCTGCACTAGTAGCATCAGACTCACCTGGGAATTTGTTAGAAATGCCATTTCTTAGGCCCCACCTGAAATGTATGGAATCTAAAACTCTGGGGGTAGGGTCAGCTGGTCCTCCAGGTGATTGGAATGGTTGCTGTAATTTCAAAATCATTTATTGATCTGTTCACTTAAAATCATACTCAGGTAATTCTGTTTACTGACAAACAAAAATGAAACAAAAACTATTCCTCTCACCTCTTTTGATCTTGCTACCCTCTTAACCACACAACATCTCTCCCTATCACCACCAATCTTCTTGAAAATCACACCTTTACTGTCTCTTGATTTTAACACCACTTTGTCCTTGTACACCTGTGATCAAACTTCCATTCCCTCCAATTTACTGAAATTGCTTCCTGAACTATATACTTGGTTACCAAATTCAAAGACCTTCCCTCAGACATCAACAGCTCATGTTACACCACTGGCCTTTTGCACTATATAGGCATCAGAGATATTGAGGGTTCAGTTCCAGAGCACTGTAATAAAGTGAGTGTCACAATAAAGGGAGTCATAATCATTTTTATGGTGGAGGGTCTTGCCTTCCATTTGTAAAAAACACAACATCTGTGTTTCGTTTTTTGCTATTGCACATAAAGTGAAGCACGATAAAAGGTGGTATGTCTGTATTCCCTCTTCCAGTAGCTCTTTGATACTGAAGATGATGGGTTCTCCTTCTGCCTCTCTGAATGTTCCTTCTCTGGATTTTCTTCTTAGTTCTGCTCTCTCAAAGAAGGTGTACCTTTGCACCCCTAGAGTCTACTCACAGGGCCTGGTTTAGGAGATAATCGATGAAGATTTGTGGAATAAGCAAGACCCCTTTAAGGCTCTGTCCTTTACTTACTGCCCTCAATGTTTTTATCTATGGTTTCAACTCTCCCCTCTTTGCAGCTAATTTCCTGAATCACTAGTTCTACATTTCTAACTGGAGGGGAGCCAAAGACAAATTTTATCTATTTTACCCTTTGCCTGGGACCAGACCTTGTCATAGAAACAAAAGCTACTAAGAAGAATGGAATTGGCCAGAAAACTAGTGGGGTTTTTTGGCAAAGAGAGTCTGAATCAGTTAGAAAGAGCCTTGTCATGCCAAGATAATTCACAGCTAAAACCACCTTCTGTCATTGGCAACATGTTTTTGCCTCCTGCTTAGAATGTGTAAATGCCCTGCTAGTATCATTTCCCATTTGATCTCATTTAAATTTAGTTGCTTAATTTTAGCTAGTTTTTTATCTTTTTCAAGTCTAAATAATTGATAGTTCTAAGAGAAATTGCCATTTATTTGTTTTGGAAGGAAGAAATAAGGGACATTTGTGTGATAAAATCACTTTGGACTGAATTTAGGGGAATTTAGGAAAGGAGTTTGAGAATCTTGACACCCTTTAAGAGAATAAAAACTAAGTAACTGAAACCCTACCAGATGATAATCACAGCTAAATACTAACAAGAGGTGGCCAGAGAGACAAAGTGGGACTTCTCATCTGGTTCCCAGGGACATGAAACAAAAGAACAGATTCCCAAAGGAAGCCACTCCTAGTTTGAAGTACTTTTGACACAAGACAATAGGAAAAAACCTCCTTCCCTCAAGCACTTGCCTTTCCCCCCTCAGCGTAGCTTTTCTGCCTTTTCTGAATGGTTTCTTTCTAAGGTGCTTTTTCAAAGAAGGTGGAGTTTCTTTTTTGGATGGTGCTCCCTCAGTAAAAAAAGCATTAAATCTGTGCTCAATTAAACCTCATTGATGTGGACCTGGCTCCAAACTGAGAATTTCCATGCTGAACCTTAAAAAAGACCTATTACATGTCAGTTGGGTATTAGACTTATTGGATGATCACTTCGTAAGTTGTATAAATGCCTAATCACTACATTGTACACCTGAAACTAACATAATATAGTATTACAGAAAACACACACAAAAAAAAACAAAGGAAAAACAAAAAGCAGGTGGAAGAATGCTCAACCAAGAGAAGGGGAGGGGACTATTGATCAAGCCTCAAGGACATACAGTTCTGTAGGGGACTTGGCAACCCCTTCAACCTCTTGTATGCTTAGTAAGGCCAAAGTAGCAGAACTGTCATAGTAGCTCACAGCTAGCCTTGGAGAAGCCCTTGCCCTTTGCCACCACCATCCCCTCCTTCAGATGAAAAGGAAGTTCTGACAGTGGATTATTTCAGAGCTCAGGACTTGCTTGGCATAATATCTGCAGAGAAATCCACATAATTATTAAAGAAATGGCGAAGAGTAGATAACTAACTAGTGTCAGTAAATACCCACTTAATTCTCCTGGGACTGCTATAGCATGCAGATGAGGGGGAAGGTCACTGTCAAGGCAAGTTAAAGGTTTAGGAGGCCAACATTGATGAAAAAGTGAAAAAGGCAATTCCCCAAATTCCTTTCCTGGTCTCTGCTCTTTATGAAAGTCAGCTATGCCCATGGACACAGATAATGGTATGGGGAAGGCCTGGGGGTGGCGTGGATGTGGGGTAAAGGGAGTCAATGGGGGGGGAGGGGACATCTGTAATACTTTCAACAATAAAGATAAGTTAAAAAAATAAAAAAAATAAAGTGAGCTATGGCTGGGAGAGAGTGTTAAGAATTATCCATGGGGCTAGTAAGTACTTGAACTTCTGACTCAGTAATGAAGTGCTTCACTTGTGGTGTCTGGAACCAGTTCAGTGGTCTTTTGTCCTCAAGGCTCTGCCTGTGCTGGCAGTAGGCAAGACATTTTCGAAAACCTAGGTGGGTAAGTAGAAGGTATGAGGGTATGAGGGTGATGGACAAAACCTAGTAAATGAAAAGAGCTCAGGGTAAGATTCTGCTAGTGCTTTGGCTTACATCTTGACTACTTAAAGAATTTTAACCAAGTGGCTTAAGAGTGGCTGTGGGGATTCAGTAAACAC